AGTATGAAAACTGCATTCTTCAGAGAAATCCTGGGGAAATATCTTTCGAGGAGACTGTCTTAATTTGAAAAAAAAATTAAAGGAGAAAAGTTCTCTATTCAATAGATCTTAAATGCCACATATTTCAGTGGACATTTTTACAGCAGATTCTTTTCTGTTGTAGAGAGGAAGGTTATATATTCTTTGCTGAACTGTATGCCCAGCAGTTGATTGCCAGGAAGATTCTCAAAGGATTTGATAAAAGCATGTTTGGTGACAAAGCCAATGTCAACCTATTTTAATGGTACTTGAAGCTCTTTGTACAGCACATTAATTTTGAACAATTGTAAAGGTGTACTGTTAGCCTCAATTACATCTCTCTTGATGAAGCAAATTAACCAGGATGGATTTAAGCTCTTTTACCAAAAAAAGACACCACATCTGTTTGAGGTTTCCTATAGCCCTACTGAACTTAAATAAAGTCAATACAGGTTTGCTATGGTAAAAATTTTCTATCCCAAGTAAAAATCATCACAAAAATGGCAAAATTCATTTTGTCACAGCTTATTTTTTCTCAAAAAATGGATTTTCATACTTTTATAGGGGTAAAATATTGAAAAATGACTGTTTTTATCATCACCTAAACAAATATCAAAGAAAACCTTTGATCTGAACCCCATGAAACTAGGTATTTTCTGAAAGCAAAGAATATATTCTTTCATTTAAAAGTAAAATTGGCTGGTGTAAATGATTCAAAATTTTTTCAGGGTGTAAAATGTGAAAAAAATAGTGAAAATTTTGCATTTTTTTCTAGTTCTAAACAAACATTTTCCCCATTAATGGGAAATTAACCATTTTGGGGGGAAAATCAGAAAGCCTAAACCACAATCAAACTATTTCAGGCATAAAATTGAGAGTTTTGAAGGAAATCAACATTCCTAGGAGGTCAAAATGCAACAAAGTCCATTGGTAATTTTCAATTATATGACTGCCAGGGGTTAAAAAAAATTGACACCCAGCCACGGAAATCTTTAGTAAAAGGCAAAAGATTTATCTGCAATTCCTGACCACCAGAAACCAAAAGCTGTTTTTTTTCTCAAAAAATAGCAGCAATAAGAAAATTAAACCAAACTGATTTTGACATCTCTGGGTCAAAGGTCAGCCAGCCAGCAATAAAAGTTTAGAACAAGATATAAGAGATAAGTGAAAAATAGTGAAAATAAATATTTTTTCATAAAAAAATCGGTGATTTTTCTCAGAAAATTGGGCATAATTTCTTAATGCTAACCACCAAGTGACATTTTCCACAGCCAAATTGAAGATTAATTACCAGTGAATAATTCCATGTACAAGCAATAGCTGTCTGGATCCTATAATGTCGTCCGAAAAGGTTCAGAAATTTACTGATTGATCAAAAACTTGTTGTGCATAATTGTATTTTTCACAGTTTCAATTATTTCATCTTGATATTGTTGACAGCCAAGTCATCAAGGATTCAGGAAAACAGTTCAGCATTGGTTTGCTTCAAGAACTTTAAATTCAATTTTTCACTGAATATTTAGTTTACACATCATGTTGGATTTTCCTATATGACAAAAACAGCCATGACACCATGATGGCATCATTTTGAAAACCTTCAAGGAAAGGTCTGAGCAACCTTGCCATATAGATGAAAAAAAAAAAAAACTGTACCCTGGCTTCAAAAAGGGAGTTACCAACAGACTTTTTACTATGAGTTAAGACACTGATGTTGGTTCCATCTTGCAGAATTTTTGTTGTGGTTCATAAATTTCTGTACACTGGCAAATCTTATATCCACCTGTGAGCACAAAATTTGAAGGGGAATTTTAAGGCTTTCATGATTTCAATGAAATAATCCCACCTAGCTGGTGTGTCATGAAAGATCTACCAAAGGGCTCTTAGGCTTTCATTAATCTTCCATACTGTCTCCTTGCCCTGTTGGAAACTAACCTTCAAGCATTTGAATTCCCTTTGCTTCTGTCCTCCCCAAATAATCTCATAAACTTCTAGTTTATTCATGGGCTGAGGTGCTTCTCTGGATCTGCTTGGGTATGTCCCATAAACTGAGAGTCCAGGTAATTTACTACTACCTTCTCTTCACTCCCACTCCAGTATTGAACAATTAAATCCATTTGCTCAGTCTGAGTAACCTTATTCATCATTCATCAAATGAAATGACATAGCAATTTGATTGTCTGATACCTTTTATAAGTTCCTCCCTGAAATAGAGTGCCAAGCCAAAACAAATCAGTTGTACTGTTTTGGTTGCATTATATGCAAATTTTTTGGCAATGTTACTGTCAGGAAACATCTGAACAAACAACATGCCCAAATCCGAACAGGAGTTGAAAGAAAAATGAAACAGTCATTTTTGGCATCCAGTGGATCTCTGCTTCCAAAACAGTTTCACTTGAAAAATATGTATTAATTTTGGGTGTAACTTGGGATGGAGCTACACTTTTAGAATTTGATGGTTGGACTTTTCTACTCTCTCGGCTCTCTACCATTGTTGTCTGCTTGCCAGTTTCAGAATTCTAGGTGGAAGCTTGATTGAAGAAATCAGTTATTTGTGGTTCACTGCCTTGACCTACTCTAGCCTAGTGTCCCTGTCCTTTTAATGTCAGATAAACCCATGTTGCTAATATCAAATGATTTTTGGCGTATGTTACAATATGCACAGTGAACCTCACCAGCCACATGTCTTATCCAGGTCTTGAATTCAGGATTGTTATTCTATTTCTCCTTAAACTCTCACTTCCTTGAAATTTCTGTCCTGATTTCTACTTCTGTAAATTAAGTTGAAATAAATTATCAGAATTAATAATTATGATAACATATTTGATAACATCATTCAAAATTAGTACTATTCAGCAAGTTGATGAAAAGGTTTAACAGTTATTTTTAGTTATAAATATCTGAGAAAAATCATAAATTTCATTTACAACAAAGATTATCTGGGGAAAATAAACGGTATTTATTTGAAAAGATTACACTTTGTGAAAAGGGATATTCATTTAAAGAAACTTTTTTTCTTTGATATGTATTAATTTAATAAAAAAAATTGTGAGTACACCTCGTAGGGTTTTAGAGTTTATTAATTAAAGAAAATTTAGTAAATTTCTACATAAGGACCCGTTCAAGTTCGCTGAGAAAAAAATTTCTAGTAATTTTTTTTCCTGCAATTTGAACTCACTGCAATTTTAATATTTTTTTGAAAAAACAATTATTTTACATTTTAAAAGGGGATTCACTTTCACATTTTAATTCAGTGTAGAATGATCATCCATTTCTGGAACAGTTAGCATTGGAATGGACAACTAGCTAGACAGGAACTTCCCTTGATTTTTTTTTTTTTTTTTATATATATATTTACTTGTCAGTAATGAATCTAAGATACTTCATCATAAAAAAAAAGTAAGAATAAAACAGAAAACTGGTTAAAAAATGTGTCAATATTAGACGTAATGAACAAGTGCTATCCTGGAAAATTTAGAAAATGTCCTGGAAAATGATTTCCTAAAAAGAGTGGGAACCCTGACTGTTTTATTTATTGGTTTCTATTCCTTTTTCTGTGTGCTTCTCTGTGAGAAACAGTCCAGCCCATTCACAGGCGACAGTCAAAAATTGCTTTCCCTTCTGGGCGATATTTTCATGTCACTTCCTCTTCCGTCTTGGTTGAAAATTTTGTTTACTTCTTCCTTGACAATTTCTGTGCCTCTGGTCAAAATTATCCACTGGCCTTTCTTCTTATATAACAATTGAAAGGGCTCTGAAGAGACCTTAACTTTGGCTTTCTTTTAAAAACACTTTTCTGAAGAGTAAGTGTATAAGAAGACATTTTATTTTTTATAATAGTAGAATTTTTTTGCAACATGTTTGAAATCCGCACCGTATTTAGTATTCATTGAAGATTGCTATTTTCTTGAGATTTTACAAACTGTTTTGTTCTATTTCACAAACCAATCAATGAAATATAAAAACTTAAAAAGATTAAAAGAACAATACTGCTTTTTTTTATTAAATAAGTATTTATTATTTTAATCATTAAATTGTTTTTAAAATAAGTATTTTGTATGTTAAATATTAAAACTTTTAATTTTCCAAAAATGAATGAAAATTTATTGTACTATAAGCTACGTACCCTAGTAAAATCAACTGTACTTTGTACCCACTTATATGTTTGGTTTCTCCCCAAAATTTGTTTTGATTGGTCTATAGTTATTTTAGAGAGGGTGTGACGGACGGACTAACGGAAATTAGAGAATTTTATTTTTACATATAGATTTATTTACACTTTTTTTTTTATTAAGTTTTGTTTTGTATAACTAATTTTTTTTTTTTTATAATGAATAAACTTAGTTCATTATATTATTTTATACTCACCTTTTAATAATTTTGCATTATTTTCTTATAAAACTTTTTATACATGAGAGAATTATTGTTATTTCAAATAATTATTATTTAAAATGAAATTGTGTGTGTACTGTTAGAGTTGTGTGTGTGTGTCTGACGAATTACACTAAATGTCACCCCATAAAATCTAAATCTTTCTTAAATAATTAATTATCTTCAAATTCAGGTAGGTATTTTTCTTTTGTTTCCATGAAAACTTTTATTCCATCAAACAATTAATTCCGAGAGAAGCTTTTTTTAAAGTTTTCAGTCAGTTCAACATATTTCTGTTGTTGCGAAGGCAAACATTGCCGTTGGCGTAATACCTGTGAATTTCTGTGAGTAATATCGCTCTCATTTAAGAAATATTCAAACTGTCGCAAATGACTAGTTTTACAAGAAAACTTTATTCATTTGTTGTATGCTAAAATTAAAAAGAATTAAGTATTTGAATTAAGTAAAAAAAAAAAAAAAAAAAAAATTAATTTTTCTTGAATTATCTCCCTTGACTTTCGCTCTTGAGAAGACATTTTCGTCCAGCAAACAATAGCTTTCATTTTCAAGAAAATTTAACAAGGAATATCTTTAAGTTATTTGAAATTTTTTAGTTCTTACTTTTTTCTGTACTCTTGAATTATCATACGGAAGAAAATTAAGACGAAAGCAAATTGAAAGAAGTAAGTATAACATTTTCTCTTTTGATTTACTAATTTGCACAAAGAGAAGCATTCATTTTTATTTATTTATTTAACTCAGCACGGGCTTTGTAAAAAGAAATTTAAATAAAAACATATTTTAAATAATTTAAATTAAATATCTTCTTCAAAGTTAAATTTTGGTTTTATTTGGGGTTTTATAGTAAAGCTAATCTGTAAAAAAATCAATTTTACCTACTTAAGGTTCTTAAAATATTTAAAAAAAAAAGCATTGACTTCACTTCTTACCATATTCATCGAATATCCGTTATTGACAAAAAAAATGATAAGCAAATTTGAAAATCTCTTAAAAATACAATTAAACAAGTAAATTAGTAAAATCGTATATTAATTAACTGGATTTTGTCAAAATAAATAATACTTTTAAAACATAGAGAAAATAATTGTTTATGGTAGTTCGTGAGCTGTATGATCAGAAGTCACTAATTGTGTACGTAAAAAAAAAAAAAAGATTTAAAAACGCCTTTTTGAACGTTAATTCAAATAAAAAGAAATATTAATTTCCGTATATAAATAATTTTTTTAAAAATATTGACACGTTTTCGGTTTTCTCGTCACTCATCGATCCGTAAAAACAAATTAAAAAAAAAAAATTTTTTAAATCCAATATAGAGAGTCTCTAGAAATAGGTTTAAGAAGTAATTTAGTAAATTTAAGGATTAAGTTTAAGTAACTGGATTTTGTAAAAAGTGATGTTTACGTTTTACTTTAAAACTTAATGAAAATAAAAAACTAAAAAAAGTAACTGTGTACCCTTGAATTAAAAAGAGCGCGAAAAATTTTAAAAATGAATAGATAATACCAGCAGTGCTACAATCAAGAAATTGGTAAGTATGTTTAAAAATAAATTATCTTTGATCTTGTATAGATAATATTTTAAGAAGAATATAATTTTTATTTTATACAATTTTATGAAAAATGAATAATTTTATTTTTCAATTCAGAGCATTCATTTTATTTTTTTATACTACATTAGAAATATTTTTCTATTAATTAAACGATTATTTTGAATTGAATTTAATTCATTGCTTTCATTTAGGCTCCTCCGCTTTTTAGCGGGAAAACAGATAGCGTAATGAAAAAGGCCCCAAACTTAACGAAAATAAAGTTTTATCGTCAAAATGTTTGTTATTATTAAGATGAAAGACCAAAGTATTTTTTAATTATATTTTGAAATATATTTTGAATTTTTTTAATCCTAACACGTTTGAAATTTTGGTTAAAGTCTTCTTTTGTTTTCGTCATCGCGGTAATATGAAAATAACATCGTTTTTTTTGTTGTTGTTGTTTTTTTTTTTTTTTTTGCACCTTTTTTCTGTTGAAAACACATTGATTTGGAAATTCTCGTAAAAATCAAGTAATTGTCCGATTTTAATGAAATTTTCAGGACTTATTCACAAAAGAATGAAACTATTTTTTAAATGTTTTTTTTTTTTAGAAAATTTTGGTAAATATGTTACCCCCCCACACACACACACTTAATTTCATGAAATTTCGCACAAAACCTATTTTGAATTTTTTTTTTTTTTTTTAAAAGTAGGAGTCCTTGGAGAGATTTTTTTTTCAAATTTGAGCTATCTAACTGAAGATCTGCTCTGAATTGAAAAATAATGAATCCATTAGAATTATGACATTACTTAGGCACCTTCATGAGATCGCTAAAAAGATGCCAAACTTGACAAAAAACAAAAATTTTATTGTGCAAATGTTTGTTATTATTACGAGGAAAGATCTAAGTATTTTTTAGGTATTTTTTTTTACATTTTTTAATCATTCCTAGCACATCCAAAATTTTCGTTAAAAATCTTGTTTTTTAGTCAGCAAAATTGACAGATAATCAATCACACCAGCCATTTTTTTCCATTTTATAAAAAGAATGAAAATCTCAGTTTAAATTTCTTTTAAAAATCATTTATAATTTTTTTCAAAATTTATTTTAAGAAAATCAGAAATTATAATGTTTATTTAAAATATTTTGAAGCAAGCTTAACTTAGTTTCTGTGCCGAAAAGATCTAGTTTGAAAATAAAACAAAGCAGGACATTTCGTGTCACTTGATGAAAGACATTTTCATGGTGTTTTGATAGCTTATCGAAGGAGAGATGTGAAATTATTTAGATTTAAGTGAACAAATTATTTACCTCTTTATTTTTAAGGAAAACTTTCAGCACTCTAATTTTTTTTTTTTTTGTACTTAGCTTTCACCTTTACATTTACGATGCTTTATGGAAAATAAATTATTTACATTATTCGGACTATTGTCCTCCTCTTTGTTGCCATATTTATTACAACGTTTCGGCCGTTGTACACTCCGGCCTTCTTCAGGTGGATTGAATGTCAAACTTAACCCTTTATTTCACTCACTGGGGTAGACTGTTCTAGTTCCATGTGCCATGTTTAATGGATGTCAGTTATCAGTTATCTCCTGTTAATTTCCTTCTGAAAGTTCTCCACTGCCTTAACCAAGTATTGAACTCACACTCTTTGAGTCCTGTCACTGGATCTAACCAGCGCCTTTATCCACTGTGCCATTAGACATGGCACATGGAACTAGAACACTAATCTTCCCAAAATTGAAATTATAGAGTTTTCGTACAATTAGTTATGGGGTGGGGAGTAATACATATGAAGAAAAAAATTTTTGCCATGACTTTAAAAAAGGAAAACATATTTATAATAAGTTCCATTATTTGTGAATAGTTTCTGAAAGTTTCATTAAAACCTGACAATTATTTTTATTTTTGCAAGATTTTCCAAATTAATGTCTGTCATACAGGAAAAAAAACATGCTAAAATTTAAATGTTATTTTACTAGTTCTGGTGATACAAAGAGAAACAAGGTTTTTTGAATCAAAATTTAGAATGTTCTAAAAAGAAAGAAAAATTTTAAAAAATTAAAAAATACTTTGATCTTTCCTCTTAATAATAACATAAACATCTAGATGCTAAAATTTTGTTTTCATCAAGTTTGGCTCTGTTTTTAGCGATCTTATGAAGGTACCTAAATTACTTAATTAGAAAAGCTTTTAATTGCTTTCGTAAATAAGTAATATTAATGACATTATTGTTTGAAGAAATAAATTTTTCTGATGAATAATGAATTTTTACAAGAATTTTTATTTTTTTTTTTAAATTTTAATTATAATAATTTATAATAGTTTAAAATCAGGTAAAATTTATAATAGTTTAATATCAGGTAAAATTTTAATTATAATAATTTATAATAGTTTAAAATCAGGTAAAATTCCTGGAAACAAAATTTACAAATCTAATATTGAAAAGATTAATCAACTTAGTTGTGCTATTCTATTTTTAAAATAATTTTTATTTTGTATTTTTTTACTTAATACGTTCATTAATTTTCATGTATGGTAGACTGAAATTTCCATTATTATGATCTAAAAGTTTTGTCCCTTTATTATGTTGCTTCAGTTACGTTTCAACATTTCTATCCAGCTTTAAAAGTTTAAAGCTTAAACTAAGTTTTACTTTTTTCAATTACTATTTTGCTAAATATTTTTATTTTATGTATTTACATTGGTGTGGGACATACTTCAATTGAATAATCATGGTATTTCATTTGTTATTAAATTATAAAATTAATTGAAGAAAATTTTATAGTATTTTAAATTTTTTTATTTTTGCATCTTCAAGAGGTAAAAAGAAGTCAATAAAATATTAAATAATTGCAGAAAATATGTTCGTTTGTAAAAATTACTTGGTAGTTAAAAACCAAAAATATGCATTCACTTAGATTTCTGACAATTGGGTCATCCGTAGTAGCTGTCAGTCATCGCTTCGTCTATCAGCAGTCCATCAAATGTTGGATCAGATGAACAGGACCAATCATTAATAATTGGTTGTATATTATTTTTTTATGCTATGAGTAAGTAATATTTATTTTAAATCAGATTAATTTAACTTTAAATTTTCTAATTTTACTAAAATAACATGTCAGAAATATATATTCAGTTTTTGAAAGAATTTTTAAAATAGAAAAATTTGTTTTGTTTACAAATTTCTTAAAATTAAGAAAATGGCTGCTTTTAAGAAAATTTCAAGAAATTGAAATTAAATTTGACATTCCAATCTATATAATTTCTATCTGAAATACACCAGAATATTTTACTTAATGGAAATAATAAATTTAATTATTAAACTTTCAATTAAAGCTAAAATGAAATCTTCAAGAAAGATTTTTCATTTTTAAAATTTAATTTTAAACCTTAGGTATTGAAAATTTATGCCAAAAAAAGTGGAGGTCCCTACTTTTATTTCATTATTTTCTTATCTCAATGTTATAAATAATATCTAATTGCACCTAATGTGTGTGTTTTTTTTTTTTTTTTTAAATTATTCTGAATTTAAGAGTTATTGAATTATTTATCATATTACTCTTCTGATAGGAAAAAGAAGGCAGTAATTCAGAATGTCAGAAAAATTTATATTTTGAGTATTTTTGGTAAAATTCAGGAGGAATATTCCATATGTTCACACTTGATATTGCGTAAATATTTTACTGAAATAAAATTTTCAGTGATTTTTCTTTATATAACAGTAAAATAATTTGATGAACATCCGTCAAATTAAAAAGTACATAAGATATCAAAAAGGTGGAGTGCCTCCCACACACACCCATTATTTCAGAAGGTTTTCTAATAAAATAACCTATTCAGAATACAATTCATTCATTAATGAATTAGTTGCTGAAAATTCTGTTTGAATCTGATAATTCCCTGATTTTTTTCCAAATATTTTAAAACAGGAGCTAGTGATTCTTTTTTTTTGCTTTTATTTTGGAAAAAAAAAACATCCATTTTGGTGACACCTAACAATTGTAGTCGTCTGTCACCATCCCTTTAAAAAAAAGTATGAAAAGTTGAATTATGTCTGGAGGAGAACAAAAATTACTAGAATCTAGCATTTTGTTTATATTTAAAAATAAATAAATGAATGAATTAGTTATATACAGAATAAGTTATTTTTATTTTTTGGTTAGTTACTACTGCATTTCAATACATTCTGAATATTTTTGAAATTGAGGTTGTAGTGATGACAAATTTTTTATAGTATTATAAAGATAAATTCTTGATATTTCACACAGTAGAAAATTTTAATGATATCAAAAATAAAAATTTGATATACCTCAAAAAATAATTTTGTTGAGAGTTGGTATTTGAATAGTTTAATAAAACATTATTTTGTTTCAGGTTTGTTAGGAAACATATTTACAATTAATATTTATTTTTGAAAAATTTACTTGTAATTGGATTTTTAAGAGATTTTTAAAGTGTCTTAAATTTCCTCCTGTCATTTTTCAATTGAAATGGCAAAGCGATGACTGTAAGGACATTTAAAAAATATCTTAAAGTCATTGAAATGCATAAAATTATTTTTCATTTTTTATGCTTTCAAATAAAATCAAAATTTTACTAAATAGGACATTTTAAATTATTCTAAATACATTTTTAATGTTTTTAGCTCAAATTTTGTTGGTACCTAAATACTTTTGACTTTTGTTCATTACATTCATTTCTTTTATTATTTCCTCAACTATTTGATATCATAAGATATCGCACACATTTAGCTCTTTTTCATTATTCTTATTCTAAAATTTATTAAAGGAAGTACTATGAAAAATAGGAAAATTGATAAAGACTTCTTGAATTGATATTGTTAATTATTGAACTATTTCCTTTTGAACTTCCATACAAAAAATAATCTAATTGTTGTAAAAAAGAGAAATTCTTTTTGAAAATGTTTACACTTGAAAATGATATTGCACTTTACATTTTTTGATTATGCAAAAATGACTGTAATAAAAAAAATCTCTTGTTATGAACAGCAAGTTCATAAATTTCAAAATCCCACTGAAAAGTTCCAAAAAACAATTTAAAAAAAAATTTCATTATAGATGTTTTTTCCTGTCAAATCTGAAAGAAAATGATGCTTTAAATCAAGCAAGCACCATCTCTCAACAACAAAAAAAAAAATTTTTTTTAATTTTGTTGAATTATTTTTTATAAGATTTGGGACAAATTTTCACTATGTTCTTGATTGATATTTCTTTTTTTTTTTTTTTTTTTTTTAGTTGAAATAACATCTTCAGTTTCTTTATATATAACTGTAAAAAATGTTTTCTGTACACTTCTACCCCCTAATTTTAAGAGTTCCCAATATATTGAAATAGGAGGAGAGGTGAAACTGAACCAATGAAAATATTTACATTCAGATTTCTAAAAAAAAAAAAAAAAATGATCTATTCAAAAAAATTTGCAGAAAATTTAATTTAAATTGAATAATTACCATATTTTTGCTAAAGTTTTTAAAAACTGGAGATAGTATTTTTTGCTTTCGATATCAAAAGTGCACACACATTTTGCTGATTGAAATACTTAATATTTTATTTAATATCTAAAAAATTAATTTGGAAATTAGGCAGTTTGTTTACAAACTCAACTGACTATTTTAAGATTTTTAAAGGAACTTTTGATAAATAAATAATTTTTATTTTTTGACATTTCTTTTTGGTTATAAAGAAATTAAAAAGTTCTTGAAAGTGTAAAATATGAAGAACTTAATTTACTTATGAAATGTGAAAAATACTTGATCCTGCATTAAATTCATCATTAATTCTCCCTCAAGAAGGGATAAAAATTTTGCTCCAAACTGCAAAATTTAAATCTCATTACTCAAGTTGTTGGGCTTTTTTTTTTTAAATATAGACTGAAAGTATAAAACAGGTATTATCAAATTTAGGCTAAAACCCCTAAAAAAAAAAAACATTTAAAATAATTGTCTGCTTTTTAGTAAAATCTCAGTTTTATTTGAAAGATAATAGGCTAAACTTTATATAAAGAAAAATAAAAACATAATTTTGTGTGTTTCAATAAGGTTTTAAGACAAACTAAATATAATCAGGGTCAGTTTATCATCAATCTGCCATTCTACTTGAAAAATGATAACAGAAACTTTAAAAATCTCTTAAAAAATCAAAAATGTCTGCCCCAGAGACTTGTTTCAAAGAAATTAGTAAAATTAAGGATTAATTAACAGAATTTGAGAAAAATATTGCTTTATGCTCCAAGGATAAAACACATATGAACAGAGCAAGCTATATTCAAACTGATAACAAAACCAGAGGTCAAAAAGTCGAAGTCTCCAAACAACAACTACCTCAAATTGAATTATATACAGAAAACAAAAACCTAGAAACTGATGTTGAGATAACCTGTTCTAAAAGAAATTACAACTAATGATGTTTTGTCATTTTTGATCAACCATACAGTTGAATGAGCTATTGTATACAATGTGCAGAAATTTAAGTAATCTTTGATTAACTTTGAGGACGTTAAAAAAAAAAAGCGCTAGACTACCATTTACTGGGCTCATGGTCTTGAAGGTTGACAATAACCTGAATAGAACAGTTGACTAAATGGAATTATTCTTAATTGACTAAAATAGTGATTCAATCTTGTCACAATATTTTGACAAGTATACCTATAATTATTGTTTCACCTTTATCTAACATTAATTGTATTTAGGTTGAATATAATTTCTTATTGAATGCAGGTTTAACACAGTCATTGGTAAGGTTATCTCATTTAAATGATTAGTGGTTATTCTGACATTTTCTTTGCTACATGTGCTTATCAAATCCATTTAATCAACAGTTTATTAATGCCATCATCAATGTGCCCAAACCAGTAGTCAAGCTAAAAAGCATTACTCACCATTCACTTAAACCATCCAGCTGTTTTGATTTATACTCATTTTTATTCTTAATTATATTTTAAAAACTAGGATATTTTTTCTTCAAAATCCAATTAAGTAAGTATTAAATAAAATAATATGTCTTAGAAGTAATATCCAAAATTAGGATCAGAAAAACTATAAGAATTTCTTAATAATTTTTCTGTTTTTTTTTTTTTTGTTTTTTTTTTTCATTGTCAATCTTGCTTGAATGATTCATGTTTAATTTCTTTTTTGTAAAGATCTTTTGCTTTTGAGGAAAATAAAGCATAAACAGGATTGTTCCACTTTGTTTTATTATAGTCAAGTGCAAATGTTTTTGTATGGCCCAATAAATTTCATTTAAAATAACTGTTCAAATACTGAAACAGCTGTTTTTATATATGCGTATATATATATATATATATATATATATATACACACACTCACCTGTCGTTTTCAGCATATGAGAGTCAAACAGCTCAATTCTTAGAACCAGCAGCCAGACTATCTGCACATATCATTTAATTATAGTGGTGAAAGCTTGTGCAAAACCAAACCAACACTTTTTGAATGAGCTGAATACAGAAAACTGGAGCACATTATGCTGCAAGGTCCCCAAATGACCATTTGCAGGTTTTGAATTCAGAGATATTCTTCTAGACCATTCGCTATCCAAGGCTATAGGACCCAGTCTGTCCTGCTGTTTACTCATAGCAAGGAAGTGAAGAGATGGCTTCATATCTTTCCCAAGGTTATTAGTACGTAAGTGAATGTAATGAACCCTACTGGAATTTGAACTCTGGTGACAAATTGGCTCACAGACAGCAAAATCAACATTTTTACATTATTGGAGTAATGGATAGCAGCTTGGATTGAGGAATTGGAGAGCCAAGTTTCAATTCCAGTTGGATCCATTACACTCACTCACATGCAAATACCCTTGAGAAAGGTATGAATCCTCCTCTTCTCCTCCCCGCAATGGGTAAATGGCAGGACAGACTAGATTCTCTAGCCTTGGAAAAGAAAAAACTCCAAATTCAAACCAGCCTGGAGAGGATTGGGCTTTGTCAGGCTATCTTGCCCAAGAAACACCATTTCTGTGGCTGTGGTATATGTGGTGCCTGATGGGTCACTGGATTTATGATCATGACAATGTGTCCAAACCTGAATCCAATAATTTGCGGTGAGAACATAAAATTAGAGTTCATTTAAGACAACATTCAAAGTTAGTTAAGTTACTAGTTGGCTGTTGAAGAACAAAACAATATGCAAAAAGAAATAGAAAAATGTTTACTTTTGATTAACATGTAGGGAAAAAATGGGGAATCATATTTTATACAGATACATGTTTTCAGAAATTTTTACTCAGCTTAAAAAACTCTTATTTGAAAGCAGTAAGATTGCAAATACACTCAGCACAGAAACACCTCAATGGAAATTAGAAGAAACACAATGGCTAAACATCTGGTTCATTTATGTTCTTTAATATCATCAGAAATTAAATATATTGAGAGTTTAATGAATAATATCGTACAACTTTTAAAAAAAATTACATAGGGATGGCTATACAACAGTGTTGTATTATACTCAATTTATATCCTGTTTTTAGCTTCAGAAACATGGCACATACTGAAGGTGTATTATACACAAGAAAATATGGTACTTAAGTTATTAACAAAAAAGTTTATGCAGTTGGCTATTAGCTGAAGCATATGTATAATTTTGTCTTTGACTATCTTCATAATGTTTTCAAAGTTGATTATGAGTATTTATTCAATGTTTAATATATTCTAATTTTATATATAAAAAGTCACTGTATTTTGTATTTTTTTAACAAGATTAACTGTACCATAATATAAATTTTAACTGCACTGTATATGAAAAGGTTTCTGTAAACTATAGAATTAATTTTTCAGTAGAAAGCAATATTTTTAAAATATATTTATTGGTATTTTGATGTGTTATACTGAATGTGTAATTAATTACAAAAATACACTAAAATAGGCTTCTTTTTTTCTTAACAGTTTATCATGTCTGTGGAAAGTTCTGATGGAAAGATGGACACACACATTTACTCTGGGGACAATTCTGATACACGAGAAGATGATGGATTGGAAGTTTCAGAGAGTTTGGATATAAAACCTAATATCAGTACACTCACTGGAGAAAAACCCTATATCTGTGAAGTGTGTGACACAGCATTTACAGTTTGTTCAGATTTAAAAAGACACATGTTAATACACACAGGTGAAGAGTGTGGCTCGTCATTTTCAGATATTTCAAGGTTAAAATCTCACAAGCAAACACATATTGATGAGAAACCATCTTTATGTGAGGTAAGTGGTTCTGCATTTTCAGTGAATTCAAAGTCAAAATCTCGCATGTGGACACATACAGGTGAGAAACGATATTCATGTGATGTGTGTGGTTCAGCATTTTCACGGAGCTCAAATTTGAAAAGACACAAGAAAACACATACTGGTGAGAAATCATATTCATGCCAAATATGTGGTTCAGCATTTTCACGGAAAGCGCATTTAAAAACACATTTGCAAATACATACCGGAGAGAAGCCATATTCATGTGAAGTATGTGGTTTTGCATTTTTACGGAGTTCCGATTTAAAAACACACATCCGAATACATACTGGAGAGAAACCATATTCATGTGAAGTGTGTGATACAGCATTTACAGAGAATTCAAGTTTAAAATCTCATATGAGGACACATGATGGTGAGAAACCGTATACATGTGAAGTATGTGGCTCATCATTTACACAAAGATCAAGCTTAAGAACTCATATGCGGATACATACTGGCGAGAAACCATATTCATGTGGTGTATGTGGTTCTGCATTTACACAGAGCTCGCATTTAAAAAAACACATGCGTACACATACTACAGAGTAACGATATTCCTGTGGAGTGTGTAGTTTGGCATTTTCAATGAGCTCAAGATGAAAAATTAACATCGAGATACATTCTTTCTCAAGGACTACCATCTTCTGGTGAGGCATGTTGTTTAGCATTTTCATTACATTTTATTTCATAAACCTATAAATCACCCACTGGAAAACTAGAAAGTTGAGGTAAACCGGGTAAAGCCGTGTCAAAGTAGGGTTGAAACTGTTTGTCATATATTTGGAACATTATCCTTTCAACCAGGCAAAGTATCTCTAAAAGAGATTAAGCTTCTCTTGCTGCTGTTGTTGAGGTGATGACCTGCCTGATCGAGTAGGGCTTTTTCAATTGTGAGGGTTCTAACTTCTGCTTTTGTTGGAGTCTTTTGATGACCAGAGGCTAGCCACATTAATCTGTTTAGCTGTCTACTGCCAAATCCAAAATCACTCCTTTCCACCCGCGCTATTTTGCATAGATGTTCTTTAAGTTTCTGTTGTCCATTATTTTTAGCAGCATTCTTAATCGAGAATGTCTTTCAGGCTTTACCTTTTTATAATTTTTATACTTTAGCCTTAAAAAATGCAATAAACTCTCAATTTGTTACATAAATCAATAAAGTTTTAAAATATTACACCTTTTTATTTTTTATATTTTCCCTTTAAAGAAAAAATTTAGCAACCACCTAAATGGAAAATGTTAAAAACTGAGAAGGATGAATTGATGAAAAAAATTTTTGTTCTACAGAAGATATATTAATTTTTAAATTTCTGTCTATATCTAGAATTCTCAAAATGTATGTGTGTATGTGATCGGATGTTGTTTATGTGTTTCCCAGTTTTCATCAGATTTTGATGAAATTTTTTTTTGAAATTTTGTTTGTTTGGCTTCTTCAGTGCCATTTTTGAGTCCAAATTGGCTGGAAAAAATTTTACAACCTTGAAGGCAAAAAATTGAAAAGAACTGATTTCTTACATTTTTCACAAAAATAAAAGGCAAAATTTAATGTCCGTAAAAAAACAGCATACAGTCAATTTAGAGAGTTGAAATCTAACACAAAAGGTTATTAGAATTATAAAAAAATTATAAATAAAAATTATCGTATAATATTATTATGACAATTCATGAAAGAGGTTCCTTCCTTGCAAGATTGAAAATGCATCCCCCTCTCAATTCCAATTATTACACCCCCATCCCATTTGGTGATGTACCTCAGTTGCACCTTATTGTTGTTACTAATATTAATTTTTGGGCAGGCTGACTTTAAACTTAAACTGGTCCAATTGAAGATCAATGTAGCCATTGATTTTCCAGAAGCGCATACCTGAACACTCCTGCATGCGAGGCTGAAACTGCTGATCAAAGGACTCGATGGCTGAGGAGAAATGCCTCTTCAACTGCAAAAGATGGTCAACGCAAAAACGGCCCTATTTAGGGCCACTCTCATTCAAATTGTTAACCCACTATTTGGGGATGTGTCTCAGTTTCACCCAATTATTGTTAGTAAAATTGATTTTGGGGTGGGCCAACTTTAAACTTAAACTGCTCCAAAAGAACGGCAAACATTCCCAGTAATGAAATAACCAGGTGAAGACGAGTTATACTGCTAGTACTAAGTATAAGGAACTTCATAAGGTTATTTTCTTCCTGACTACCATTGTATATTTTCTTCTATGTATCTTAGGATTGAAGCTGTTAGATGCAGTAGAATTAATTTTGATAGTGGGTATGAGTTAAAGTTAACTCTAGAGGGTGTAAATGTTTAAGTTAATGTCAGTTATGTGTCATGAGTGATACATGTTTAGGCGATCATGTATCTTTCAATACATGACTGACAAGAGAGATTTTTTTCCAAGAGTAAGTTGCCACTTCTTTCTATGATAGACCAGTTGCCATCCAAGGCTATAGAACCTCGTCTGTCCTGCTATTTACCCATAGCTAGCAGGAGAAGAGGAGGATTCATATCTTTCCCAAGGGTATTAGCACATAAGTGAATGTAATGGATTCAACTGGAATTCGGACTTGGCTCTCCAATTCCGCAATCCAAGCCGCTATCCATTAGTCCACCATGTCTCTTTAAGAAATTGAATTCGATGTTAAGTGTAGGGAAACCATTTTCAAGAACTTTTCAAGAACAATTTCTTTAAAATCAAAAATTATTTGCGCACCATCAGTGATGTTTTATATATTACTAAGAAATTGAACAGGAAAATGTCAGAAAATGAAAATAATTCATTTAACAAATTAAAATGTCAAAACAGTTTTAAGGCAATTTGAAAATTGACAGTTATGTGCCATGCATGATACACACTTAAGCGATTGTGTATCTTTTGATACATGACTGATGAGGCAGATTTTTTTTCCATGGTAGGTTGCCATTCCTTTCTATGGTAGACCAGTTGCCATTCAAGGCTATAGAACCCACTCTGTCCTGCTATTTACTCATAGCTGGAGGGAGAAGAAGAGGATTCATACCTTTTCCGAGATTATTAGCACGTAAGTGAATGTAATGGATTCGACTGGAATACAAACTCGGATCTCTGATTCCTCAATCCAAGCTGCTATTCATTACTCCACCGTAATGGGATTACGGCTACATCATGTTGAAACACCACTTCCCATATGATTACCAAAGTTAAGCAATGTCAAACTTGGTCAGTAGCTAGCTGAGTGACTGCTAGGGAATACCACATGTTGTAAGCCTGGATGTGCAAGTTGTGTAATGGATAATGGCTCAATTATTAAATAGAGATCTAGGTTCCAATTCCAGTTGGGTTTGTTATATTCAGTTATGTGTAAATACCCTTGGCAAAGGTCTGTATTATAGTAAGACTTGTATCACTAAATCATTATCTCCAAACAAATTTTTATAATAAAAGATATTTTCTAGCTTTAAAAGGATTGATAAGCTGTAGAAAATGACTCAATCAATAAAACCATTTTTAATTTTTACAGAACAAATTTTGTGTTCATCTCCAGGGATGAGCTCAAAAACTCTTTTCAGAAGCTATAAAAGTTTTGCAATAAGGATAACATCATCAATCCTCAACTTCTCTCTTTAATTCAACAGATTGTCTTGAAAACAAATCTCTAAAAAAACAATCTAACATGGAGTTTCAATCAATTTAATGAGATCAGATTTATAAAATATATTAGAGCACATTCATCATACTTATTATAAAACCTAGGTTGTGTATGTGTGTGTCTGTTCGTTTATATATTGGATCGGATTTCCTACATTTTTCAACCGATTTCAACAAAACTTCACAGGACTATGTAAAATTACCTTGCAGTGGTTCTGACAGCACCAAAAATTGGAAAAACAAAATTGTTTTTGCACAAAATCAATTTAAAAACACAATTAAGAGGCATCACTGTCGCCAGAATGAAAGGGGGACAACTCATATCGAGTTATACTTATTATAAAACCCAGGTTGTTTGTGTGTGTGTGTGTGTTCGTTTATATATGGGATCAGATTTCCTACATTTTTCAACCGATTTCAACAAAACTTCACTTTTTTTTTTTTTTTTTTTTTTTTTTTTTTGGCAGGTAGTGTTTCTTATTGTCTTGCACACTTTTTTTTTCTTTATTTTTACATTCAGAATGCTTTAAAATTCCATTTACAAGACAATTGTTTATAATAAAATTCTATTCAATTGTTAAACTCATAACGATTGAAAACAATGTTTTGTTTGAGTTTGGGTTTGACCAATTTTAAAAAACAAAAAACTAATTAAGACATGCATGTCCGTCAACCTTAAACAATAATCTTTGTCAATTTTATTTTTCAGTCTTTATGATGGTCGATACTTGATCTATCTCTTACTGTTGCATCCCTGGGCAACGCTGGGCTCTATTGCTAGTCTTGAATAAAAGCCCTAGATTAACATTCAGATGACAAAAACAATAAGGAGTTAAAATTTCCAAATTGGAATCAGAAGAACATCTATAAGTATTAGGATGCTTATGGACAGTTCCTTCTATGTGAAATGATATCTATATTAGATCTGAAGATATGTCTGCCACCACCACATGGTAGGGTTGAGGGGATGGAGAGCTCTGGCTTTTCTTTGGACTCTCTTCATCCCTTCTATTTGTCTTCTGATGTTTTCAAAGGATGTTTTTTCGTGGACTACTCCTTTTGC